AGGTCAATTTTATCTTTGGGGTTGCTAAGGATGGCTGCTATTTTTCTGTCTGTTTTGAAGGCAGTCCTGATGTGATGTCTGTGTAGTACCTTACTAATTTTGTCTGTAGTACCTCTTATGTAGGGCAGGACAGCTGTTCCATAGGTCTGTTCATCTTCTGGGTCTCTATTATGTTTCAGTGTGTTTTTGTGGATCAAGCTGGTGATTTTGATCAGAACACAGCAAACTCCAAGACCAATAAACACAGACCAAGACTCCCAACCAATCAGGATGAAGAAAAAAAACCATTCTGGCACAGCGTAGGCTAGCACCAAATTTAAAACTGAAACAGCTGTGAAAGTCTGACTCACAGACGAACACAATACAGAAACCTGATGATGGCAGATGAGATTCTGCCGAAACGTCGCTACAACTTTAAAAGCACAACTATAATGACGTGGGAAAATACCCGAACAAAGCTGAATACCATATATATGTATGTATGTACCGGTATGTATGTATGTATGTATGTATGTATGTATGTATGTATGTATGTATGTATCAAAGACACCTTACTCGTTTTTTGATGCATTACTTTTCAGATCCATACTTCTTGCTGCATTGCATAATCTACTTAATAATTGCTGCAAATAATGTGAGGTCTTAACCCAGAACACAGCATGGTCTGCATGCAAAGTACATAAACGTTCATATCTCTAACCTATACATCTGCGTTTCTTATACCTTTAGCCAAATATTACATACATTAATACACTAAAAAGCAAAGGAAACATATATTTTTGTCCTACTTCCTGATTAATAATGAACTATTCCCTAAGCATTCTATTTGTCTATTTTTTCTCACACATGCTTTATAGGTAGTCCTTACTTAATTATCCTAACTGGGACCAGTAACTCCATCATTAAGTGAAGCGATTAAGTAGAATATCATGTGACTGCCCCCCTTTGCGATGGCAGTTCCAACAATCCCAATTGGGATTGTTAAGTGAAGAATCACTTGCATTAAGTTATTAAGTGAGACATCTTTTGACCCTGACTTGCAACCTCCTACTGGTTCCCCTATTGACGTTGTTTGTCAGAAGGTGTCTGGGAAGGTTGCAAATGGTGACCACATGACCATCAGGGCTACCAGTATTTCCATCATAGGCTGTGCTTACAGCATTTAGCAATTGACTGAAAACTCCGTATTTGTGCAAAACATTCCAATTCAAGCCTATTCCCTTTTATCATATGTTTTACCTCGTCAAAATCCTCCTTTGTTAGATAAAACAAACTTTATCTTGAGAAGGGAGAGAAAACTTGTCAGTCAAAAAATGCACATGCATAGCTTTTTCTCTAACAATTGCACATTGCCCAGAATCATGACCTAGGTGGATAGATAAGCAGACAGACTATAGTAAGATGGATAGATAAGCAGACAGACAGACTATAGTTCTTGCTCTTGAACAATTGTAAAAATGCTAGGAAATTGGAAAAGATACCATCTATCTGACCATATTTGATATGACATCCATTTTCTGAGGTTGTTCACATCATTTTCAAAATGTCAAGTGTGACTCCAAATGATTGGGCCACCTATTCTAACCAGACCTTAATGTTTTATTAGTACCTACCCAAAGCAGCCCAAAATAGAAGTTTCATTTTAAAAATACATGCAGGACTGAATTAACAAGTTATGCAGCAACTCTCCAACTCTCTTCATACTCTACATAAATGACCTCTGTGATCATATCAAGAGCAACTACGTTCTCTTCGCTGATGATGTAAAGCTGTTCAATACCACAGACAATACTGCTACCCTTCAAAAAGATCTTGACTATGTATCAGAATGGTCAAACAAATGGCAACTTCAGATCTCAACAAATAAATGCTCTGTCTTACATATTGGCAAAAAAAATCAGAAAATAAAATACAAGCTGAATAGTCAAGATCTTGTTGATGATCCAAGCTCTGTAAAGGACCTTGGAATACTCATCTCTAATGATCTAAGTGCTAGAGCCCACTGCAACTACATAGCCAAAAAGGCATTAAGAGTTGTTAACCTAATCCTACGTAGCTTTTTCTCTGGTAATATCACACTGCTAACTAGAGCATACAAAACATTTGCTAGACCAATACTCGAATTATAGCTCATCAGTCTGGAACCCACATTACGTATCTGATATTAGCACAGTTGAGAAAGTCCAGAAATATTTCACAAGAAGAGTTCTCCACTCCTCTACTTGTAGAATACCTTATGCCACCAGACATGAAATTCTAGAACCTAGAAAATCTTGAATTACACCGTCTTCGGTCCGATCTAAATATGGTATATAAAATCATACATTGCAATGTCCTACCTGTCAATGAATACTTCAGCTTCAACCATAACAACACAAGAGCACACAATAGATACAAACTCAAGGTTAACCGCACCAAACTTGATTGCAGGAAATACGACTTCAGCAACAGAGTGGTCAATGTCTGGAATACTCTACCTGACTCTGTAGTTTTTTCCCCAAACCCCAAAAAATTTAACCTTAGACTGTCTACTATTGACCTCACACCTTTCCTAAGAGGTCTGTAGGGGGCGTGCATAAGCGCACCAACGTGCCTACCGTCCCTGTCCTATTGTTTCTTTTATTTTTCTTATATGTACCCATTTCATGTATTCATAACTATGTATATACTTATACCTATTATCTTGTAAGCAATTGACAAATCAAATAAATAAAAAAAATAAGTTGATTACCTTTAATCATGTTTGCAATTGGAAACCATTTCTTTCTTAAAGGATCATAGAATTCCGCTTCTTCAGCTGGAGCCCCTTTTCGATAACCTCCCAAAGTATAGATACAGCCATTTAAGGTAACTGCACAGTGGTAGTATTTTGCATTAAGCATGGGAAGACCTTCAGTCCATTCATCGGTTTCAAAATTGTATATCCACATTAAATCAAGGGCTTCTATATTGTCTGTTCTGTAACCTCCAGTCACGTAAATATTGGGTCCCAAGCTTGTGACTGCATAGCTTTCTCGTGTGTGCTCTGGCATATCTGTTCCCTGGACCCAAACATTCTTTACTGAATCCCATATATGCACTTCAGACAAAGGGTGCCAGTAATAGCCCCCAATCACATACATAATAGTGGTAGATCTTTTTGTAACTGCTCTTGGCTTGGGGCCCAATACACTACGGATTAGAGATCTGATTTTATGTTCCTTTAGCTGGCATTTTTTGTACAAGCTGAGGGCTGATTTCAAGTACATTTCATCTAAATCAGTTTCAAGGCACCTCAACAGATCATAAATGTATTCGATCCTGCTGTCCACTTCATAGGCAATCCACTTCGCAATGGGCTCTATCATTGCTTCTTCTTTCCAGATATCAAAATTCTTTCTGGAGAGAATGAACTGGAGTTTCTTGTTGCTAATCTCTAGAAATTCTTCCCGTCTCCACACTTCTTCAAATCTGGACAATATTATCCTTCTGGATTCCTTCTCCAGCTCTGAACAAACATGGAATTCTGCGAAGGAGTGCATCCCTAAACAGTTGTCAAGGTCTAAATGTCGGATGAGAAACTGCTCACAGGCTTTTTTGACGGAAGTAAACTGAAGATGATCAGCAGCTTGAAGGAGGCTTTGAACATTTTGTTTTGTTATCTGGATCTCTGATGTGTACGTGTACAACACCAGGGATTCTAGTATTGTAGGACTGAACAAAGAGAGATGAATCTGATCCTTTGACTTTTCTTTCATGTCAGAGGTAAACATGGCTTTGAAATAGTTGCTACAAGCAGCTAATACAGCTTTATGGCAATGGAATAGCACACCCGGTGAACACTGAAGGGTAATATCAGTGAATAACCCTTCAAGATAGAACGTCCTGAATGCATCCAAAAACTCTATAGGATGAGAGAGGTCTTTGTATCTATAGGTATATTTCTCCTGCTCAGTCAGTGCCATCACTGAAATAAAATATCAGAAACAACAGGGCAGTGAGGTTCATGCACTCATTCCTATCATTGTCCATTCAGATATAAGGCTTTCTGATTGCAATGGCAGAATGTTGTTGCAAATAATTTACCTCTAATGCTCACATAAAGATAACAATTTTAAAAATCCAGCATATCAGTTCAAGAAACACATCAGGTAAAGAAGAAAATCCAAAGCCACCAACAGAAATATATTCCCTTAAAATAAAACCATACAGAAATAATTAGTTTTAAGTTATTAAGCTTCACTGGTCTCAGCTCTTCAAAGGTCTCCACTGCCTCAAACAATTCGAACCTTCTTTCTTGCTCTCCCAAGCAGTGCCTCATCTGCTCCAGAATTTGATGCCAGCATCAAATTATCTTCCAATCAGGCTCACATTTTCAATGACTGGTCTCCATGACTTACTTAAATGAAGCCTGCAGGGCTGGAGAAAAGAACAATCCTATTATTTGTTGATAGTGAAAATTCTACACAGATCATATATGTGTACACTATATTCTACACATACATGATCTATGCAGATTTCTTATTATATAAACAGTACACATTTATATGAGCAAAAATCTTTCAAGCATTACAAATGTACAAATTAATTCGATTTAAATTTTGCAAACCAAGATGTGGGCAGCTATCCTATTTAAATCCCTCTGAACAGAACAATAAACAGATATAAATCCCACTTAGTTGGACATACATATTAGTAAAAATGGTTCATAATTTTGTTCAAACATGCTATTATCAGATCTAGGAATGCCAAGAATGTAAAAGCACTTTAATTTTGAGATCCAGACAAAAAATGTATTTTTCATTTTTATCATTGTCAACCTATTTCATTTGCTCATTTCAATCACCGTTATTCATTCCATTATTCTTCCACAAACCTCGAAGTAATATATAACAATATAAGGGGTTCTAATGCCACTATTTAATTAAAACATACTATAAAACACACTGTAAAACCAACTATCAGGTAGGACTGTGAAAAGAGCGAATTAACACTTCCATCCTATGTATATTTAACTATGGCATTTACCTAGGAGTAGATAACCATGTAAGTCCAGTCCAGTTTACCTTTAGGTAAACAGGCGCCTAACTCTGCTGTTCCTTATGGGTAACAATATATTCTCATGCATCTCAAAAATATGCCCCGTTGACTTCAATAGCCTTATTTTCAGGAAAGGGATATAAAGCTAGATCATGCGGCACATCGCTAATCCCACAGGGGATTTCTCGCAACACAAACACAATGCAACCTCTTTGTAGGTAATTAAGAGATTTTTGAGAGTAGAAAAGCAACATTTGGAACTTTTAATTCTCCCCAAAGCGGCACGAACAATAAACAGGCAGCAGTTAAGAACAAAACGCCATCAACCGAGTTGTCTGTCATTTCGCTGGGCGATGTTGCCTTGAGGAACAGAAAGCCGACGTAGATAATCCGAAATGATTAAAAAAAAAAATCCCTCTTAATAAAAAAAAAAAAGATGTGGTCGCCCGGCATAGCGAACCACCAAATGGCCAGCCAGTTCTATGGCTCATATCGAGCCATCCCAGAAACTAGAGTTCACCCTAATAGGACTAGCGTCCACCCTGGCAATGCTGCAATTCCATTCAAAAACAGTCCAGTCAGCCGCAGGTCCTCGTTTCTTCGACGGCTGTCATTTATGTCGATAGGTTTTATCCAAAGCGTCGTAGTTCGGCCACCCCGCATTTGCTAAAGACTCGCCCACCTGCTCTCCGAATTGGGTGACAGGCAGAGGCAGAGCTGGGCTCGCTCGAGCAGGGGAAGGAGCAGCTTTCAAAAATCTGAGCACGGAGGGGAGGGGAAAGGAGGAGGACCGTGGAACTAAAAGGCAAATTGCCCGAAGCGAACCCCCCCCCCGCCGGCCCACGGGCAAGGGTCGGTCGTGGGGCATTGTGGGAGCGCCTTCCTAGCAGGCTCGGCACCCTTGTCATTCTTCCCCCCCCCCCCCGCGCGCGCGTGGAAATGAAGGGGGAAAAGCGTATTAAACGGGATATCGGGGGCCTGGAGGCGCAAAGTTCGTGTTTATTTTGCTTCCCCCCCACCTTTGCTCCGTTCGCGCCCAACCCTGCCCGCCGAATTGAGGCGCGCTTTGGAACAAAAGAGGGAGAAAGAGAGAGAGAGAGAGAGAGAGAGAGAGAGAGAGAGAGAGATTTAAAGAAAAAAAAAACCTCGAGCGGGGCTTTGGAGCAGGTTGCAAAGTTTGAGGGAAGCGGCTTTGCCGCGCGCCAAAACGCGCGGGCCAAACTCGGCTGCAACCTGCTTTATTCCTATTCCGAGAAGTGTGAGGAAAAAAAAGAGGCGCAGGATGAACCCGTTAGGCTAGGCAGTCCCCCGCGAGTCTTTCTCGGAGAGGGAAGGGAGGAACGGCTCGGCTGCCCCCTGGGCTATCTTTAGAAGAAATTCAGCTTCTCTCCGCTGCTGTAGGCTATAGAAGGAACAGATGGAGAGCCGAGTTCCTATTTTGGTGCCTCAGCTGGCTCGCCTCCTCCTCCTCCTCCTTCTGCGGCCAAGCCCCTCTGCTCCCAACAAGGCCATCCTCAGCTTCTGCCGTTCAGCTCTCCTCCCTCTCATCCCCAGGGAAAGCTTTGCCTGCTGCTTCTGGGCCGCGGGGGGCGGGAGGGGGAGGCAAGGTTTGCCCTGAAAGCGTCTGTTGGGCTGCGAATGGTGGCCGTTTTGCTTCCAACGTCTAAAGTGGAAACAATAGCTTTGTTTATCCGGAGCTTAGCGGGAGGAGGGGGGGTTGCGATACACTCATGGGGTATATAAAATTGCTCCATCTCCTCTCCCTGCCCAGCCGTTTGTAGAGATGCTGCCGAAGCTGTGGTAGCAACTTGAAGGTTATAAAGCCTTTCTCAATAGTTCTTAGTCAGTTTTGGATAGGCGGTGGTTAAGGCATCAGGCTAGAAACTGGGAGAGTGCAAGTCCTAGTCTGCCTTTCAGCACAAAACCAGCTGCATGACCTGGGCCAGTCACTCTTGGCTTTAGAGAGGAGGTAATGGTGAATCACTCCTGAAAAATCTTGTCAAGAAAACTGCAAGGAATACTCCTTGATATACAACAGTTGGTTTAGTGACTGAAGTTACGATGGCATTGAAAAAAAGTGACTTATGACCATTTTTTAACACTTATGACTGTTGTGGCCTCCCCATGATCACATGATTTATATTCAGATGCTTGACAACTGACTCCGGTTTATGGTAGTTGCAGTGTGTCACGTGATCTCCTTTTTGCAACCTTCTGACAAGCAAAGTCAATGGGGAAACCAAATTCACTGCAGTGATTCACTTAACAAACGGGGCAATCGCAAAACAGGGCCAAACTCACTTAATACATTTCTCACTTAACAACATACATTTTGGGCTCAATTGTGATCATAAGTTGAGGACTACCTGTAGTCCAGGCTATGGCCTAGATCAAGACTGACTTGAAGACATCACCACCCCCAGTTGCCTCCTTCCATGGTAAGTAGAGTCTGTCAACCAAGAATGAAGGGGATGATTCATTAGGAAAAACAAAATCCACTTGCCTTTTGAAAAAGCACTTTTGGGCTGAGACTTGTTTTAGGAAACACTACAAAATCATATAAAGCATCCAGAGAAATAATGACACTTGAATTTTGTTCTGAATAATATTATATATCAATTTTTTCCATTTTTTTAGATCCTACTAGATCTAGCAAAGAGAACATATTTCAGGTCCCCTCTATTAAACAATGTTATCTTGTTGGAAACATGCCTTTTCTCTGATAGTGCCCACCTTATGGAACAGCATACTCATAGAGATCCAGTTGGTCCCAACCCTGTTAGCCCTTCATAAGGTTCTCAAGACCTGGCTGTTTCCTCAGATGTTTGGATCAGAAGATTAGGAAAGCACTGTTGTTGATAATGAGTTTAAGATCAGAATGTATTACCAGTATTTCCTTCAAGAGTCATGAGATATTGTTTATAACTGTTGGCTTTTAACCTTTTATTCCAACCCAGTCACTGCTCTGAGATGGGGCAACCATATGAATTATTTCAATAATAAATAGCAGTACTCTGATACTCCAATTATAAATCACCCATGAAGGGTGCACAATGGTTGAAAGCACAAACTATAATCCATGGGCCAAGGTAATTGTTAAAATCAGCATTCACATTTATCAAATAAGCAGATCTGTGGACCATATAATAGGGTCCTCATCTATAGTGGGAAGGAATGCAATGTAAGCTTCATTAAAACTAGGGGAGAAGAATTTGTTAGAAAAAGCTTTAATATATCCCCCTAAAGAGGAAGAAATAGAAAACCAATGTTCTTTTTATACTAATCGGCTAAACATCTGTTAGGTCCAATACAGCATGTTGTTTCTGTTGATTATATAATCACTATATTCTACAGTTAAGGCAAAATATTTAACAGGTAGTTTCAATAATAAAATATTTAATTATTATCTTTATAAGCATACATCTTAAATAAAAACTACAAATGGGATAAATTAATCATTATTTTAAATACACATATTCCAAAAGTTGTAGTAGGCACATAGTATTTCAATGAATAACAAGTGAAATATGGATTTCTAAGCAAATTCATTATTTACTATATCAAATGAACTCAATATCTGAATTTTAGCAGATAAATATCCTATTCATTAAGACCAACATAAATTAATATCTGAAAGCCAGCTAATATTGAGCTAATTTTTTTTATCTTCTCTTCATTAATTTTAAACTAAAAAAATACATTATCCATATATACAATTCCACATATTAAACCAATTTTCACACATTCACTTTTCGCAAAGGCTAAAGACCAACACAAAACTGCTCATCAATTTATGCCCCTTTTCAAAACTTTCAGATATAACTTTCACATTAAGAGGAGTTTGGCAGCACATTTTCTAATTTTATTAAAAGGCATAGCTTGTCATGAACGGAGTTTTAGCTTATGAAGGCTTATGACTCCTAAT